CTTAGCTATTTCTATCCGCTATTAAACAAGACTTTGTTCAAGGTGCCACTTAACGGTATACTAGATTACTGGTACTGGTATAGGCTGTAATATTTTCTCCCTGGCGTACTCGCACATGAAAAAAACTTGTTTCGATAAACTTGGTAGCACTAAAATTATCTACTGTATCGTAAATTCGTAATAATGACCATCATCAAGTTTGATTTTACAATCTCACTGTCTTATTGAAATTACATGAGCACACCTCAGTATTTAAACAAATATAGTGCTGTATAGCAAGCTGCGTACCATTATTAGAGTGAGCTACGTTCTTTGAAATTAGCTCGCGATAGTGAATTGGCTTTTAATAAGAGTTCTACGTGTAGTTAAGCAAATCTGTAGTTATGATGCAGTAAGAATTAGGACTAACTTAGGACTGACGGTAATAGCGATATTATGTAGCGAAAAATAAATATCTGGCGAGCCCACGCTTGTTATACTTCGCTTACTGTATGTACTTGTAATTTTTACTTCATAATCCTGTGGGAGTAGGGTATAGCCACTGAAAAATGTATAGTATACGCCGTACGACTTATACTGCGCGTTAAAGAACTTCACTGTTAACCGTTAATGCTGAATATAACAATGGTTGAACATTTCTGAAACAGGTACGAACTAGTTTCGGACTCTATAGTCGACAGATATAAGCGTAGAGATGTCCCTTATTGAACTAAATAACAATTTACGAACATATCTGCTAACCCTTCATTTATGATTGTTAGGTAATGAAGTTGTGCAGTGCGGTAATGTTAATCAGTCATTTTTAAAAAATCATTAAGTGATTTATTAAAAGCTGGCAGTTTATCACATTTGCATAATAATCTCGAAATTTATTCCGATACATTAGTTAAAAATCTACCACATAACCATAAAAGAAAGCGTATTACATATTAAAGCACATTAGCTAAAATTAGGATTAGTTTATCAATATAATTAAGGGTTGTGAAAGTCTGCTATAACTATTTGACCGTTTTACTGTAATGATTTAGTTCTCACAGGTTATCAATAAAATCTTGGCGAGCGTTAATATAATCTTTCAAGTGTTCGTGTGTTGCTACATTATTAAATTCTGCGTACAGTCGATAAATGAATGATGCAGTTCCTTTGAAATATTTCTATTAAAATTCAGTTTTAGATAGAATACACTCATAATCTTATCACTATTAAAATGTTGCTACAAAGATTTATATTATATTTCAATATCAAGATAAAAGAATATTCGTTAAAATTAAAGCTAGGCAGGTTAATTTGATACATAATCAAAAACTTTTTGTAATTCAATGTATTTCTAATATTTGGCCATCGAAATGAAAACGAAGACAAAGTAAACATGTTGACATAATCCATATACAAAGTAATACAGTCGTAATAATGGTAGCATTATAAACTGCATTCAATTGGGATGGATTGCAAAGTGATCATCCCGCAATCTTTTATTGATAGATCTGATCGCACTTAAAACAATGTCAGCACGATTGCACTAATCGTTTATTCTTATCAGAAAAAAGTTCTGATTGAAATAAGAATGAAGTGCCTCAAAATATAGTCTATTTGTAATATGTAATTAATAAGTATAAAGTATTAGGCAACTATTTTTTATCTAATTATTTGCTGTAATAATCGGATAATCTTGAAAATGTTGTAAGAGACATTACGGTGCTTTATATTTAGATTGATATGAAATTGTAAGAAAGATAGCTTTGGATGGAAATTAGGAGTTAAACCTTCCATTGCAGTTTATGTTTGATAAATATAAATATATTAGTATAAGTATGACGTTTCGGATGCTCTAGTTATCATATTTTCAATTACAATCCATCGAAATAGAAATTGGAAAAGAAAGCTATGGTGTTACTATATCCAGGTTACTATTATTGAGAGAAGTCTTATTGCAATTATATCTGCAATATAACCGTAAAGAAGATAAGCACTGATGTTGTGGAATGATTCATTCGGTTATATTAATTAACTATTACTACATCACCCAGTTTAGTATACGATTCTTATTGAAGCTAAATGCTATTGCGGCTGTTCTCGATACAGATACGCCAATAATCCAATCATCGCAATGAC